CCACCTCCCCTCGCCCGGGGGACGTATACAAGCAGGGCAGCCCCGCGCCATCGGGCTGAAAACGGACTGGCATTTTTCTTCGAAACCCAGGGGTAGCCAAGGGAAACCTTGGTGAGCCGGACTCGCCGCCCTGGTCTCTGCCTCGTTTTTGCAGGGCTGCTAGACCGTTTCCATGAATGCATTTTCATGCGTTCATAGGAGACGCTTGATGAACTGAATGAATGAATGAATGAAGGAGTGTCCGCAGCATGGATGACAAACAGTTTGGATCGAGTGGTTAAGGCGGTGGACTTGAAATCCACTAGGGTTACCCGCGCAGGTTCGAATCCTGCAGCTGTCGTGCTGCTGTCCTGCCCATCCCTTCTAGCCGTTTGTTTTTCTCTCCCGAGAAGATACCAGGCGGCACACGAAATGACATGGACAGGCGGGGCCGGGTAGTCGGAGAGATCTGCCCAGCTGCAGCAGGTCGTGTGTCTTGCCTCGCTCTCGTCGACGTCATGGCGTTCACGCTGCTGCATCTGCTGGAGGCGGCTCTGTTTGTTGCCAACGCACTCGCCATCCTCCACGACAAACGATTCCTCGCTAAGTGTACGTACGTGTCACGACACGAAAAGGCAGAAAGCGAAGACAGCCGATGTGTGATGTGCTTGCGTTTATGTATGTGTATGGTTGTATGTGCTGGCTGTGTGCCCTTAAGATTCTCTGGACAAGCCTGCATATGGTCAGTGAGATGAGATGACTGACATGCGCACAGACGGACAGACAGACAGACGGATGGACAGCCGGCCATGGTTTGTGTGTGTCGACACTGGTGTGGTGTGTGCAGGTGAGGGTCTGAAGAACCAGGTGGCCATGTTGCTCTATGCCGTCAGGACATACCTCAGAAGTAAGCACATCGGGCAAACACACACGCACACGCACACACGATGGATGGATGGATGTTTGGTGTCGGGTTGTGCGCCTTCTACAGTGCCGCTGGCGTTGTGTAACGTGCTCGTGATTGTGGTTGAGCTGCTGCTAGGATGACGGACGGACTGGAACAGACTCTGTGATGTAGAATAATTCGTGTCTGTCCGGTGACCCACAAAAAAAGGTGTCTGTCTGTCCATCGGTCGGCCCACCCACCCCACCCAGTCAGGCAGTCAGTCACTCAAGAAACAAACACCCCATACATGTACACACGCTCTCGAGCGGGGAGGAGGGCGGGGGGAGGAGGGGAGGGGAGGGGAGTGCAGCAGCTGTCGTCCTGTCTATCTCGTCTCTGGACACACGGCTGCCTCTCTCACTCTCACTCTCGCTCTCGCTCTCGCTCCTCACGTTAAAAGTGCCGTCGATGGACCAGCCAGCCAGCCGGATTACAAAAGTCCCGTCACTCACTAGGATAGCGAGTCTTACAAAATGCCTGGGCAACAACCATGCACCGCACCCATCACGCACAGACAGACAGACAGACAGAACATACACACACCTAAACAGGCGATGGACATACAAAGCGATTTCTACACACACACATGGGAGGCACACATAGATGGTGTAGGTAGAATACATCACAACACACACGAAGGGAGGGAGGCAGTGAGCCGACCAATTAGGCGTCCATCCATCCATCCATCCACACATCCACAGATGCAAAAAGAGAGAGCGCTGCGTTGAGTATGCCGTCCGTATGCAGTTGAAAAGAAAAAGATGGTTGGTATGGGTGTCTGTCTGTCGGTCAGTCGGTCAGTCTAGACGTTGATTTCGCATTGCTCCGAGACGTACACCCAGCTGTGGGTCTCAAAGTCTATCTGGGTGGCCCTCTCGCCGTCAGCAGACGCGGTGATTGTACCCACCTACATGCAGTCATTGGGTGCAACACACACACACACACACACACACACACATATCCACACATCCAGAGGTCGCCCACGCCAGCCCGCTCATGCCGTTCGTCGACGTACCTGTCCTCTGAACATGACCTTGTCGCCCTGCAGGACGCCGCTCTCTCCGCCCACGAAAAAGTACTTGTGGCCGTGCACCTGGAGAGCAATGCATTAATGAAATGAGAGCATCGGTATCCCCACGTCACTCAGCATCGGACACGAACCTGGTTGACCTCGAAGGCCGCATCCTCCAGGTCAGAACGGGACCAGCAGCCGGAAATGCCTGCACGTCATGGGAGAGAATGGTGGTGCCATGCTCCTCTTCTTGGCTCACTGAAGTCCTTGGGCGGCGTGGCTTCGAAGCCGTCGTCAGCGGGAGTGTTGAACACGGTCTCGAAGTCACCAGATGTCGTGTTGGATGTCGTGTCATTCACGTCTTGCAGGCCTCGCGCATGACCCAAGGCTGCATCGTCCTCGAAGACCGACTTGGCAGCGAGGCTCTTGAGCCGCTCCTTGGTCTTGTGAAGGGGAGCGTCAGGCTCAGTGCTGCACAGGGAGTTCAAAATGCAGACACGATGGACCTGGAGAGGATGCATCCCTCCTCTCTCGGCTCACAAGAGGAACTCTTGGGCGGTGACGCATGAGACCAACAAGAGCGTCAGGGAGAGCATGACTGTTGAGCGCATCATCTCAACAAGCGGATTGAGGTGGCCCACAGGGCGTCTCAACGGAATTGCATGCGTAAACTTTGTGAACGGGGAGAATTGCCATTAATTGCCATTTCAATACACCATGACGTACACCACAAACAGGCAAGATCTACTTGTCAGTCAGTCAGCACATGACCAACACCCAACTCTGCATGTCCAAAATTGTAAGTCACCACACCCCACCCGTCTTGACATCCATCAGGCAGGCCGAGCAACCAACCCACCCCACCCCACAAGAAGCACCCCCACTGGACGCTCTCCCGTCTATCTGTCCGTCTGTCCGTCTGTCTGTCTATCTGTCTGTCGACTGGCTATCTAGCTGAGTTTGTCTTTGTCGAGTTCATTCATGTCGATGCCGTGTGCCGTGTGCCATGTGGGCGTCGCACCACCTGACACCGACTTGCGCCCGCCAATGACGAAGAACGCACCTGTGCAGCACAGCACAGCACAGCACAGCACAGCACACAGACTTCAGATACGCATCAGCTATCCTTCCTTCCCCGACCACCCACTCCCTCCTCTCACTCTTACCGTACCTTCTCTCCAGGCCACATCGACGTCCTCGAACATGCCGCCCTCAGCCAGGAGGGCCATCTGCTGCCCGCACGGCAGGCAACCCACGTGGTCGGCAATCAGCAGGTGCCCGCCCGGCTTCAGATGCCGCCAGAGATATCGCATCACGGTCAGGTACCGAGGCACAGCGCCCTCGCTCCCTCCCTCCGTCTCATGCTCATGCCCCACAATCACGTGCAGCGCCAGCTGTGCGATGATCAGGTCGAATGGGGCGTGAGGGATGGCTGTCGGCGAGTCATATTCGAAGGCATACTCGTGGAGGTGGACCGGTGCGCCCTCCTCGAAGGAGATCTGCATCTGCATCGGGCTGCTGCTGCTGGTGGTGCTGGTGCTGCTGAGGGCGGCCTTGTCGCCATCCTCCCGCACGCGGCGCCACACGGGGGAGCCCTCAGCCTGCTTCGTTGACACCCGGCGTCTGACCTCTCGAAGCCGCTCGGTGCTCGAATCAACGAAGGTGATCGGCACGTCTGGATAGGCTTCCCGAAAGGCCACGCCAGCAGCACCAGAACCGCAGAGAAAGTCACACCTGGGGACACGCAGTGGACAGACATGGAGATGGAAACATCGACCCGTATTCATGTGTCTGTCTGTCGTGCAGCTAGCTGTCTGTGCGTGGTGTGATTGATGCAGCAGACAGGCTACATAGGCTTACACTGCGTCTTGGTCGCCGAGTGGAGGCGCTGATCTGACCAGCTGCTCGGTCATCTGCTTGTACTGCGGCAGGCGGGTGGGCGCGTGGAGGTCATACCAATGGGCGTCTTTCCAAAAACCCCCCTTGCGGGTGAGATTCTGGGCCCAGCTCATCTCGACTCGGTCAGTCAGTATTCGTGAGCGTCTGTTGATAGGACTCAAGTGTTTGTCGTCATGCTGTCGCCGCTGCGTGTGCACGTCACGCCAGGCTACAGGCTACGCTGGGCTTGCCTCAAGCGATCCAGCTCGCAATGAGTCATCGAGGGTGCAGAGGGTGAGAGGAGAGGCATCCCTTTCCCGAAGATGCGTTGGGTTCCCATCTTGCTTGTTGCTTTGCTGGCGATTTCGTTGGTGCCTCTGCGGGGTGAGGATGATGTGGATATCGCAGATCTCGACACAGCAGAGCTGGAGGATGTGCCAGAAGAGCAAGCAAAGCAAGAAGAAGAGGCAGACCAGCTCGAGGAGGCCGCTGCCGACGCTATGGACGCCAGTCTCTCTGAACCTCAAAGGATGGAGAGAATGAAGGTCAGTAGGAGCTCAGCGAACACACAGACAGACAGACAGACAGACAGTCACCATGGGTGGCATCATCGTGATGCATTGCATTCTTCCTTCCTTGCTTGCCTCCTTCCTTTTCGTCAGATGTGTGTGGACCTGGTGCGGGGGTGGGTGGGGCGCAGCCAGGAGCTGCTGCAGCGGATGGTGCAGGAGATCCTCAGCCAGCCGCAAACCCGCAACCGGCTGTCAGAGGGCGAGGCCATCAACCTGATTGTGCACCGCCACCTGACCTTTTGTTACTTCAACATCAACGACCAGCACATCGAGATGATCAAGCACAAGCCGCCCACCATGACCCCCGAGCAGGTCGACAAGGAGATCATCCACCACAGGGATGGCACGCCATTCTCGCTCAGCAAGAGGCAGATGGCCATGCTCGGCAGGGTCATCGAAGCTGACCAGGTAGGGTAGGTGGGGTGCAACAATACCTACGTGTGCATTGCAATCGTGGGTTGGGTTTGGTGTGTGTGTAGGCGAATCAGTCGGCGGGCGCTGGTCCGGCGATAGGTGGGTGGGACATGCGGATGAGCTCGGGCGTCAAGATCCTCTACAGTGAGTGATGGGGGAAGGGAAGGAAGGCACGGAGGCAGGCACGTCCAACATGGACATGTCATGTACACAAGCTCCCGCGTCCTTCCTCTCTGTCCATCCATCCATCTGTGTGTGGGTCGCTTTTTTATGTCAGTCGCAATAGTGGTGAGTGTGTTCTTTGGGGCGGCCATCTTCGCTCTACGCAAGCTCATGCAGGAAGACAAAAAGGTCAGTCACAGCGGACGTGCCTACTATTCACACCCCACCCACTCTGTGTGTGTGTGTGTGTGTGTGTGTTTGTGTGTGTGGTGATGGCCTCCCTCGTTAGGAGAAGAAGGAGAGCTCCAAGTCGCTGAGGAAGAAACAGAAAGAGGAGCGGACAAAATCCAAGAAACTGATATGATCGATCCGATCGACTATGATCACGAGACAGACAAGGGCCAACCTGTCGGTCGGTCCAGTACGTCCCCCTCCCTCCCTCCCTCCCCCCACCCCTCTCCCGTGTAGATGTGCCCTGCATGTTATGGTGCTGTTGGTCGGTCGGTCGGTTGTGTGTCGGTGCATTCCATTCACACGCGCATCGCATCCATGTCGCCAAGTATCTATCTATCTGTATCTATCTATCTATCTATGCGTCTGAAAGAAGGATGCCGGGCCGGCCCCTCCCTCATGTAGCCTGCCTGCCTGCCAGCCAGTAATTACTAATTCCTCCTACTTCCTTGTCGCATGTTATGTGGCTGATGGATGGATGCGATGCCTCGGTGCCGCGATGCGATGCGATGTGTGTGGAGGGTGGGGTGGGTTGTGTGTGACGGTCCGTACGGTAAGTCATTCATTGATTCCATCCATCCTTTGCTGGTGGGTATGGGTGTGAGGCGTAATTAAGACGGGGAATGGGGTGGCGGTGTAAGGTTGTGTAGATGTGGTGTGGTGTGGGTGGGTGGGGAGATGCTCCATCCATCCCTCAGACAGACAGATGTGCATGGCCGGGCCTCCATGGCCATGGCGTAACTAACGGATGCGATGAGATGCGATGCGTGTACGTCGACTTGATGAAATGGCGACCGACCGGCATTGACTCAACTCACTCATACATACCGTCACAGTGAGTGGCCAAACATCGATCACAAGATGTTAAAGAAGCGCTCACTCAGTCAGTCGGCCTCTCAGCCACCCATTGGAATAAGTCACGGCAGCAGCCAGCCAACCAGCCAAGCAACCAAGCAACCAGCAACCGCTCAAAGTAAGGGAGAGAAGCAGCCACCCACCCAGTCAGTCAGAGGCAATAATTCACGCGCACTCTCCGGCCGGCAGGCAGTTGTGTGTTTCTCTCCGTCCGTCAGCTCCTTACTTGTACGCCACGCCGACACGCTTTACAGGCCACCCACCCAATCGACACACACTCACGCCGATTGCACTCACCCCCACAGCGAGCAGAGCAGCTGTCCTGTCACGCCTAGCCAACAGTTGAATAAAACAACCGCGGAGCCGACACTGACAGAGGCGCTCTCTCATCTCACATACACACACACATATGCACGGAACGGACAGAGACAGAGAGAGGGCGCTGACGCAACCACGGAGGCAGCCAGGGTCAGGCAGGTCAGGCAGTGAATTATGCATCCATCCGTCCGTCCGTCCGTCTGTGTGTCTACCAATATGTGGCTGATATGGATGGCACGGCGGTGGCGGTGGCGGTGGTTGTCGTGATGATGTGTGTGTGAAGCGCATGGGCATGGGATGGATGTACGGTGCATGTCTGTGGTTGTGTGTGTGGGTATGGGTGTGTGGGTCACTAGGAGGGAGGGAGGGAGGGAGCTATAGGGAGTCTAGAGCCAGGGAGGGGAGCCGAGAGACAACAGGGTGAGGTAAGAAGAGATAGAGAACCCAGGCAGGCGGGCAGGGAGGCAGGCAGGTCAGCCACCCAGCCCCCAACAGGCAGGCAGGACAAAACTCTGCGCATCGCATCCATCCATCCGGAGCGGGCGCAAGTACACAGATACAGACAGACAGACAGACAGACAGACAGAGAGACAGACCCACGGGCAGGCAGGCAGGCAGGCAACTATCAATCACTCACACAATCAGATACTCAATTCGCACAAGTAAGTAAGCAAGCACGTAAGTCGCTCCCACCACCACCACCACCTCCCACTAAGTGCCACCGTGCGCCACCCCTCACCCACCTTACCCTGCGGCAACAAACAAGCAGGCCGACAGGTAGGTAGACAGAAACCAAAGAGACATACATACAGACATGGCAAGAGATGGACCCACCCCAGCCGATAATCCAACCAACCTCCCACACAAATAAGTATACCCCCGCCCACCTAGCCAGCCAGCCAGGGAGCCAGCTAGCCAGGTGTCCGTGTGTGTGACACCAACGCCGACACACGACACACACAAGCAAGACGGACGGACGCATCAGTCCCTCACTCACTCACTCAGGGGCGGGTTGCTATGCTTCACTCATGACTCATGTGGGTGTGCCTCCGGTGGCTGTAGGGGCCGGTGCGCCTGGCCTCTCCTTCTCTGGCGGGTCCTGGTCGCCCAGCCACTCGATGCGCCGGCCCTCGGCCCACCTGGCCAGACGAGACGAACCGTTCTTCATGTAGTAGCGACCCTGAGAGAGAGACAGAGAGAGAGAGAGAGAGATACAGAGAGAGGGGTGTGTGCATCTTTCCATGTCTGAGTGTGTGTGTGTCTTTGTTGTGGAGGGGATGGTGGGCGTACTTGTCCGTCCTGCTTGCCGTCCTTCCAGAAGCCCTCGTACCGCCTCCCGTCCGCCCAAATGAACACGCCAAAGCTGCAGGCATCAACACACACACACACACAGGTGAAGACAGCCAGCTGTTCTGCGTGTCGATCGTCGCTGCACTCACTCACTCACCCGTCTTTTTTGTCGGTTTGGTATTGGCCTTCGTATCGCCGTCCGTCGGCCCAGAGGTAGACCCCCATGCCGTCCATCACGCTCCCGCGCCACTGGCCGTCGAACTTTCGACCTGTGTGCAAAGTGACAGGCACATCACATGGGCCACACAGGGGGAAACGACGCTGTTGTCTGCTCTGCTTGGTGTTGTGTTGTGTTGTCTTGTTTGCCTACCGTCTTTGCCGACATACATGCCGTAGCCGTTGATCTTGTTGGCGCGCCACTCGCCGTGGTACTGACATACAAAGGGATGCAGTCATGGTGTGGCATGGCAGGCCGGCGGTGAGTGTGTGTGTGTGGTGTGTGGTGTGTGTGCGTGGGCACCGTCCGTACCTTTGATCCGTCGGCCCAGTAGTAGATGCCGTATCCCTCCTTCTTGCCCATCTTAAACTGACCCTCATAGCGGCTGCCCTCGCCCCAGGTCTCAACGCCACAACCCTCCTGCACACACATCACATCCCCTCATGCCATGCCATGCCATGCCACCACAGATGCGGTGCGCATTAGACGCCACGCATCTGTGAGAGGGTTGGTCGCCAGATAGATACCTACCTGCACGTCGTTGACCCACTGGCCTTCGTATGTGGTGGTCTGCTTGTGGTAGTAGATGCCATTGCTGCACCGCACCAACCATCACATATATCAGGACAACCACGGCATGCATGTGCCTGTGCTTGCTGGGCTGCGCTGTGCTGAGCTCGTCTCACTCACTCTTTCACTGACTGACCCGTATGCGACGTTGCCCTGCCACTCGCCGATGTAGATGTCGCCGTCAAAGTGCAGAAACCGACCCTTGCCTGGTTGCCACAACACACACACACACACATACAGAAAATGGATGTCTCCGTGTCTGCCTCTGTGTGTGTGTGTGTGTGCGGCTGGGTGACCGACCTTGCGCCTGGTTGTCGACCCACTCCCCCTCGTAGACGGCCCCGTCGCTCCACTCCATTTTGCCGTATCCGTGGCGCTTGTTGCCCTTCCACTCGCCCTCATAAGACGCACCTACATGACACACATCAACACACACACACACACACACACACACGTAGATATTGAAAGGAGCGTCGTTGGCTGAGTGAGGTGGCCACCCACCGCACCGGTGTTGAATTTGTAGGGTGGTCTTGACTCGACTCTGCCGCTGCCGGCGTCGGGCAAATTCTGAAGCTCCTCCAACTCCCTACATATCGACACACACATACACACACACGCCGGTCGATACACACACACATGCTCATGCACATGCACACACCCGTCACGCACCTACCTTTCAAAGTAGTTGACAGTTGTGGAAGTGGCCCCGCTCTGTCCGCCCTCGGTACGGGCTGACAGCTGCCCGTTGGCGTATCCTCGGGGAGAGGAGTTCTGCGCTACTATAGATAGATGTTAGAGAGAGAGAGAGAGAGGGGGGCAGCGAGAGAGGGGAGATGGAAACCAAGAGGCACACAAACAAATATGTATGAGTGGGGAAAGTTGGTGGTCAGGAAGTCGGTGAGGCTTGTGGCTGACCTGCGTCGACGCCTGTGGGTGCGACGGGCGGGCCGGGGGGCATCAGGGCCTGCACCGGTCGACACGCAAGAGCACAGATCACCCACCCAGAAAGAAGAGCCTGACTGACTGACTGACTCACCGCATTGTTTGTGAAGGGGGCCTCCTCCGCTGAGTGGTCCTGCTGACTCACACAAAGGCAATTGACAAGCACACACACATGAAGAGAGAGAGGGACAGACAGACCAGCTTCAGCACTCGGTCGCTGACCGCGTTTTGTGCGACTCCCGGTGAGTATTCGTTGTAGGCCGCTTCGCCATGCCTGGGCCCGTCGCCACACACGCTGCAGTTGGAACCCATCGCACACACCACAAGCTCAGCACCAACGCCCCAGCCACTCAACACACGCACGTCAGCGCGCCAACGACGCTACCATATGCAACCGAAACAACCAGATCTCGCTCTGTTCTGTGTGTCCGGCACCGATGGACGCCCCGCTGCGGAGAATGGACTCCCTCCGCGATCGGCTCTGCAAGCTCAGCGCGCAAAGGTCACGTGGGTTGGCGTTGCGATTTGCGCCATTCGGTCTGCCGTGCCGTCGAGATGGCCGTCCTGTTGTGAAATCCAGCTGGGATCTGAGCAGTGCAGCTGCAGCAGTGACGTCACCTCTCGTCAGCAGGCAGCCGAGCCGGCCCATCCACGTGTGTGTCAGTCAGGGTGACTGACGGCACCAGCTCAGCTGCCGTGCTCTTATTGATCTGCTCTGCCTGGCATCTGGTGTTGGTCTGTTGGTTCGGTCGTCTGTGGTGAGTGATCATGTTGGTCAAGTGCGAGACGAAGAGCAACCGAGTGAAGGGTCTGTCGTTCCACCCTAAGCTGTCGTGGATATTGGCGTCGCTGCACAACGGCACCATACAGCTCTGGGACTACAGAATCGGATCACTCATCGACAAATTCGATGAACATGAGGGTCAGTCAGATACCACGGACGGGCGACAAACAGACAGACAGACAGACTGGATCTCTCTCCTCGTGTTTGCGCATGTGTGTCATTCATCTGATCTGGTCGCACAGGTCCGGTTCGTGGAGTGGATTTCCACCCGAGTCAGCCCCTGTTCGTGTCGGGCGGAGACGACTACAAGATCAAAGTACGCTCGCACACAGACAGACAGACAGACAGACAGACAGACAGGAAGGCAAGATAATAATGCCATCGATCGATCTTTTGATTGGGTCGTGTATGTGTGCGTGTGTGTCAATCAGGTGTGGAATTACAAGCAGCGTCGTTGCATCTTCACGTTGCTGGGCCACCTCGACTACATCAGGACGGTCCAGTTTCATCCTGAGTACCCCTGGATACTCTCAGCCAGCGACGACCAAACCGGTGCGTTCGTGTCGTTCGTGTGGTGTGTACCTCTCTAGCTGCGGATCACTCGACTCGCCTCGCCCGTGTGTGTATGCGATGCAATGCGTGTGTTGTGATTGATTGCAATCAGTGCGCATTTGGAATTGGCAGAGCCGCAGCTGCATCGCCGTGTTGACGGGCCACAACCACTACGTCATGTGTGCGCAGTTCCACCGCAAGGACGACCTGGTTGTGTCGGCATCGCTCGACCAGACCGTGCGCGTGTGGGACATATCAGGTATGCATGCTAGGCGAGGCGGGGGG